CGTCTGGATATTACCGGCAAATGCTCAAAACATTCTTCTTTTCACACATCAATGGCTTCCGCTTGCGTTAAAAACGCCTCTTTTTCGCCGGAGAAGTTCTCTGCTTACGGATGTTCAAAACCTAGAATGTCCTTGAGCCGAGGAAGCTCTTCCTCCAAGGATCCGTCGCCGGAGAACCAAGATCCGGTCGTGGATTTTGAGTTTTGTCTCGAAGATCCGGTGACAATGCTCTCCGCCGACGAGCTTTTCTCCGACGGAAAGCTCGTTCCTTTGAAATTCTCCGGTGGTCCAAAGACGAAACCTCCGACTTCAACTACTGAAACACCACCACCGGAGGTGATGAAATCATGCCGGAGACTAGAGATTGAGATCTCCGATCTATTCTCACCTAAAGCTCCTCGTTGCACGACTCGATGGAGAGAGCTTTTAGGTCTTAAGAAGCTTGCTAATACCAACACCAAACCACAAGACTCTGTTTCTTCTTCTTCGAACACTAAAACGTCGTCGTTTAAACTGTTTCTTCACCGTGGAAACAAATCCTCGTCATCGTCTTCTCCGGCTGATGCTTCTCCGTTGCTTAAAGAATCAGATTTCTCTGAATCTGTTTCGATCGCTTCTTCAAGACTCTCTCTTTCATCGTCTTCTTCCTCTGGTCACGAGATCGATGAACTTCCAAGACTCTCTCTTGACCTCGATAAACCGAGTCCAAATCCATTCGCTCCTTCTCGGACTCATTTACGAAACCCTAACCAACCCAGAATCCGATTAGCGAAACCCAGAAGGAATCATCCACCGTCGACTCCTTCCGGCGACGGATCATCATCAATGGTTAATTTGACCGCCGGAGAATCTCGGGGAGTTACGGTGACGGCGGATAGTCCGAGACTTAACGCTTCGGGGAAGATCGTGTTTCATGGACTTGAAAGAAGCTCGAGCAGTCCCGGAAGTTTCACCGGAGGACCAAGAATGAAACAGAGCCATGGAATGCCGAGATCTTACTCTGCTAATGTCAGAATCACGCCGGTTCTTAATGTTCCGGTTTGTTCGTTGAAATCAGGTCTCTTTTTTGGACAG